GCCCTTGGTGGGCAACAGTTCCTTTTCCGTTTAGAGAGAGGAGAGTATGGCACCCAAGGAGTCACCTGAGAAACTAAAATTTACCCTTGTAATGGGAGGTTGTGGGGTACTGATTTGAACTGAAGGTACGTGAGCTGTAGGACCAGGCAATGACAATAATGCAGTGTGGAAAAGACAAATCTGTGGCAAGACTTAAATTTCCCAGGTCCCAAGCACTGAGGGCAGGAGGCAGTGGTTGGGAGGGTTGTGTAGACAGCCTGCTGAGAACTGAGTACGTGAGACTACAATCCTCGATGTGAAACAAACGCTGTTACTCTCCACCCAGCTGTCGCGGGTAAGACCCCCATGGCAAATAAAGAGTAGGACGGCTGAAGAGGCCAGTTGCACCTCGTGGGCTGCTTCGCCCACGGCGCTGGCCTTAGTCAACCCAAGCGCCAGCAGCCGAGTAGGAGGGTCCTTCCTCTGGTTCTTTGCTTGTGTTCCCCGCCTTCCGCAGGACACTTAACCAATGAGAACGATGGGCGGCCGCCCACGGGCGCTTCACTTTGAGTCTTGGAGAACTTAGCCAAATCAACGGGAACTTCATGGTTGCTAAGACACATTGGAGTTTGGCTCCACCTATGACTAGGGTTTTAGTCAATGAAAGTCTGTACTTTGTACTGTAGCCGTGAAACCAATGATATTAGTTCCTCCCCGTGTACGTTTCGGCGCCTGCGCAGATTGGGGAAGGTTCTGGAACACCACGGAGCTGTTGCCGTCTTGCGGGAAGAGGAGAGGCTCCAGCTGCAGTGTTGATTTTACTATTGAGACTGCAAAATACCCGTGCTTCGCCACCGACAGCACACTCATAGGGATGGAGAAAGCCGAGGCCCCGAACGGGGGACACCCGGATCTGCTGAGAAATCCCGAAGCCCCGTTCCCCGTGACGTCACCTGTACGTGGCGATGCCGCACGGCGCCTCCCCCTGACGTCACAGGTAGAAAATGGCGTCAAGAGCAGAATCAAGCAAACTAAAAATTGAAAACATTCTTTTTGTTTAATCTGGAAGTGTTCGTTTCTTAAATGTAGTCTGCTGGCATAATTTGAGGGATCGGCATCTGGTGGCTGTGTCCTTTACCGATGAGGCTGCTGTTGCAAGGATCCCAGTGAGTGTTCTCCAGGTGCCCGAGGCCCTGACGTTTAGAGTCGCCTATATTGGGGAGGGAGCATCCACGCACCGCAGTCGAAGAGGACACGTGGGATCGGTTTTCAACCCACAGTGACCCTCTCAGAGAGAGATGAGGGAACGGAGATTTCTTCCTCCATCTTCAGTCTCTGGAAGACTCGTGTTCACTGTGTTGGCCTCTGTGGTCTTTTCCACCTTTTTGTGACCACACACCCCGTGGCGGTAGAGTTTAGTGAGATCACGGATGAGACTTTTGCGTTGGGACACTGAACCACTCAGAGATGGTGCTAATGAGTTACTTACAGGCCCGTTTTTTTAAAGCGTAGCTTTGTCTTCTTACACAACTTGGGGTATGTTTTTTTCTTCTTTAGTATGCCTGTTCTTAAGCTGCCTTCAGTTTGGACATGTTTGTGCCCAGCTCAGTGACCCGACCCAGTAGATAGCGCTGTCATTGGCCTGGGACTCCAGCGTTTGGTGATTTCTGCCTGAACTGGACTGACAGTGGCTCTTCCCTCTCCTTTGTCCTTTAATCATTGGGGCCTAAGTGCTGGTTTGGGTTTTGACTGCTATGACGAGGTCCAGACACTGCCATGATTTTGGGCACCTAAAGCAGTTTTTGGAGCAGAGCTGGAAGAAAGCGCTCAAGTTTTTTTTTTTTTTTGAGAGGGCATCTCACATATTTATTGATCAAATGGTTGTTAACAACAATAAAATTCTGTATAGGGGAGTCAATGCTCAATGCACAATTATTAATCCACCCCAAGCCTAATTCTTGTCAGTCTCCAGTCTTCTGAAGCATAACGAACAAGTTCTTACATGGTGAACAAATTCTTACATAGTGAATAAGTTCTTACATGGTGAACAGTACAAGGGCAGTCATCACAAAAACTTTCGGTTTTGATCACGCATTATGAACTATAAACAATCAGGTCAAATATAAATATTCGTTTGATTTTTATACTTGATTTATATGTGGATACCACATTTCTCCCTTTATTATTATTATTTTTTATTTTTAATAAAATGCTGAAGTGGTAGGTGGATGCAAGATAAAGGTAGAAAACATAGTTTAATGTTGTAAGAGAGCAAATGTAGATGATCAGGTGTGTGCCTGTAGACTATGTGTTAATCCAAGCTAGACAGGGGCATTAAAACATCCACGGATGCCCAAGATTTCTCTCAAAACAGGGGCGGTGAGGTTCTAAGCCTCACCACTGTTGATCCCCAATTCCTCACCTGATGGCCCCCCTGTGACTGTGCCTGTCTTATGTTGTTCCTCCCTTGAGGAATCTTACCCGTCTCTGGCTAACCGTCATCTTCCGGGGTTCAAGTTTTTTTAATGGATGGAATTGAACAGACCTTGACCCATAAGTTAGGACAAAGAGTTTGGAAACCACCAACGTGAAAATGTACAGTGTTTGGGACTTTACTGCTTTTAGGACATCTAGAAAGACACAGCAAACCCATTGAGATGGCAAGTTTCAAAATGTGCTCGTGTTGTTTATGTCTGCTTAAATAGATTGATTCGTTTCTGAATGAGTGAAAACGTTATTCCACACATAGGGTTTCATTTGTCCACTCATATGAAAGTTTTTGTGTCTGTGCCCTTAAGTTATCCCCACCGCCTATACTAGCATTCAACAAAGAGCAGTTACTGAAATCAGGTGTGTTTCATTTGGGGAGGAAAGTACAGGTTGTAAAAAATAAGGAAGAGCTTAATGACAGAAAAATTGAATAGACTTGGCAGCCGAAGTGACTGAAAGCAGCGGAGTTGGAAGATAAAACTTTTATCTTTAGAACATTTTTCTACAATAGGCCAAATAATATATATTGCAACAAGTTTGGTTCCAGTTATTTTGAAGCATAAGCTGTACATGCTTCATAATTAGCCACAAAAAAAGGGTGTGACTAATGGGACTGATTCTTTTGATAAGCCTATCAAACATTAGTTCTCCAGATGAGTGTATATTTAGAAATAGGCATCTTGGTATGCTGTGTACTTTTCTTTAAAAAAAATTTTTTTTAAGGATAGGCTATAAACCGCAAGAGAGAGAGGTAATCTGATATAATGGATGGAACATTAAACTTAGCATCAGAAGACCTGAAGAGTCAGCTCCTCTATTATGAGCTTATCTAAGTGCATTGGACTCAGTGTCTGTATGTAGCATATATTACCTTTGATTTCAAATAAATGTAAGGTATTGTTATGAGTGAGTTCACTTTTTTAGACACACCTGTTTTTAAGTTTGATTTCCATTTTAAACCTTAAATTTGGCCTCAGTTTTTTTTTTTCTTAACAGTGTGATTCATTCATTCAAACATGTTTAGACCCATTTATTCATTGTCTGACTTCTTCATCTGGCACCATTCTACATTTTGGTCAGCAAAAATTAAGAAAGAGCCTAAAACATTGTTTTTTGGCACCCAGGCCCTTGATCTCAGATCTCACAGTGGAGACTTTGACCTTTGTTTCTTTTTTCTTTTTTTCATTTTTTATTATCAAATGTACATCACAGTGGTTCAACAGTTCCCATCCCCCTCCCCCTGCCTCTGCCCACTCCCCTCCCCCTTGGTAACCACTAGTCACTTCTTAGTGTCTATGAGTCTAATGCTGTTTTGTTCCTTCTGTTTTGCTTTGTTTTTTTATTCCACAAATAAGTGAAATCAGATTGTATTTTGTCTTTCTCTGCCTATGTTTATTCCACTGAGCATAATACTCTGTAGATCCATCTATGTTGTTGCAAATGGTAGAATTTCTTTTCTTTTTATGGTTGAATAATATTCCATTGTGTATATGTACCACATCTTCTTTATCCATTCATCTGTTGATGGTCACTTAGGTTGCTCAGCCTCAAGTAATTTTTATTGTTTTGCTCCTTACTAACACATTTAGCGCACTGCCTGTAAGTATGAAAGATAAGGGTAATGATCACTATTATTTTTATCTTACTTTATGATATTAATTACTATGATATATTTTTATGTAGTTTTATATTACTCTTACTTTATATTTAAATAATCCAGATAGGCTACAGGCTCCAAGGGGAACAAGGACAGCAGCATCAGATGATGTGTTAGTTACTTTAAAGAGGACAGAGCTCTTGTGAATACAGAAGGTTGAAATCTGATTATGGTTAGCGTCCTTGCTTATAAATCCTTCAGATTTGTTGGGGTTTTTTATCCATCAGCTGTATTGAGGCATAATTGATGTAAGACTGTACACATTAAGGTATAGGAGTTGATGGACTTTGATGTGTAAATACCCAGGAAACCTTCATCCCCAAAGGTTTCGTGTACCCTGATACAGTCCTTTCCTGTGGGCCCCTCCCAGCTCCTTCTTTCCCTGTTTAACCACTGATCTTCGTTATATAAATGGAATCATATGGCATGGACTCTTTTCACTCAGTATAATTGTTTCGAGATTCATCCATGTTGTGTATATTGATTTCAAACCAGTAATTTTTGAATAATTTATCCCATTGATTTTGTTTGGTATCTTCTATTTTCCTTATTTGACAAACCTGTGGAAGACAGATGATTGCTATGTGAAAGCTTGGGGGAAACAAGAAGTCTTACCCCACCTGCATAGACAGAAAGGCTTCAAAGTGGGATTGGTTAAGTATGTCTTAATCAATGTTTCTGAGTTATTTCAAGTCTAGTCAGTATTGTACAGAAAATGCTTCATAATGAGTCTCCTAATTATTGATGTATGTCCTGAGGTCTGTTTCTTGGTTGGGGAAGGAAATGTAGCATGCTGGAATGGGAGGAAAAGTATAAATGAAGTTTTTATATATTGATGTCTCCTCAGATCTGCTACGATGGCATCCGATGACACAATAAGAGGCCTAATTTCAGAGAGAAGAGCCTGGTCAGGTGAGCTGATAATGAGCACTCTTTAGGGATTGTGAGGTATGAATAAGCTGTTTGAGCCAAAAACCCGAATGTGTAGTAGTTGAGGATCCTGGAGAGATGACCATGCACTGGGGTCAGAGTCTCAACACTGTTCACTCACTGCTTAGGAAGCCAGTTGATAATCTGAGTCCTGAGGAGCGTGATGGCTGCACAGTTTTCTGTATGCAGGTAGCTGCTGGCATTCAGCCTCAAGACATGGAGCACTTCTTCTCTGCTGTTGGCAAGGTAACCTTCCCCTCAGTTTTCTTCTGAGTGGCTTCTCTCCATCTCCCTTTATGCCCAACTCAGGCTTGTCTTTTTGCACTGGATAGGTTCTTGATGTTCATATCCTCTCGGATCGGAACTCGTGTTGCTCTTAAGGCATTGCTATGTGAAATTCTGTGAAATCTAGTCTGTGACTCTGGCCATTGGGCTGACTGGGCAGCAGCTGCTGGGAGTGCCTCTCATTGTACAGGCCTCACAGGTGAGTAGGCTGAGAAACTGACGTGAGAATACGGCCTTGGAGGTAGGAGCTGTGGGACATGAACCATCATTTTCTTTCCTTTGGCAGAGAAAAACTAACTGGCTTCCATGGCCAACAGCCTACAGAAGGGCAGTGGTGGACCAGTGCGCCTTTCTGTGGGCTCCTTGCACCTCAGTATTGCCGAGAACATACTCCAGGTGAACCCTTTGGCAAAGTGGGTAGAAAATGAAGGAAACCCCCGATGGGAATTGGAAAATATAGGGAGGGTGAGTGTACCTCTTTGTTCTGTCTGACCTTGATTAACTCACTGTACACATACAGCGCATGTGGGTCCATGCTGGGAAAGTCAGGCTCCATCTCTGTATTGATTCTGCTCAGCAGGCCAATGAGCCAGGCACCATGAAATCAAGTTATGGGTTCAGGTTGAGTTAAGACTAGTTAGAAAAGGTGTTTTAGAAAGAAATGGCCTTTGCCTTGCTTTAAAGGGTTTGGAGAGATGTAATTGGTTGGCTAGAAAGTTAGAATTATTTAGAACAGTTTTGGTAGGGAAGATCAAAGGTGTGGGTTAGAAAGATTACAATAATTTCTCCCTATTCTGCAGATTGATAATATTATCCTGATGAAGGACTCGGGTACAGGCCACTCTAAAGGTTATGGTTTCATTACGGTGAGTCTCTAGTATGTAGCTTTTTAATTTTAGTTTGGGTTTGTTCACTTGTCTGATTTTGCTGCTTAGCTTCATCCTCCTCCTTTAAGAACTGCCCAAATGACTCCTAAAGCTTGGTGCCTGACGTTTGGACTAGCCTTCTGCCCCTTGAGATGAGTGCCTTGCTTGAGATTTGGGCTTTGCTCCTACACTCTTGTCAGTGGCCCTGGTACTGGGATGTCCAGGAGTTCAGCCAGCTTCCCTGGTGCTGTAACTTGTTTGGGGAATAATGATGAATCCAGGCTGCAGCTGAAAGGCTGGGGGCATGAGGGAAGTTAGGTATGGGCTCTTATAGACATGCTTTATAGAATTGGTATATTTTCGTGATGGGGTGGGAATGGAAGGTTGTGCTTTCCTCTGGTGCTACCCCATTTGAAGCAGTTTCCCTGTTGAGAAGTATCTTTATATTTAAATAACACTATAGGAGAATAGGGAGGCCACGTAAAAGTTGGCAAGTCTCACCTTTTCCTGACACTTCAAAAAAATTGTTTCTAGTTCTTATAACTGGTTCTTCCATTATCATGTGACTCCAGGCTGAGGACTAGCTGCCAGCCACAAAGTCTGATAGAGCTGCTATTTTTTGGGCTCAGTCCAGGGAGCATACACCCCCACAGTTGCCTGCAGGGCAAAGGGTCGGTAGGTTGTATTCTACCATGGGAATTGCTCACCTCAGAAGTATCCAGTAAAAGACAAGCCGCCTACACCACCTGCCTAGAAACTGTCAGTGCGGTGGGCCAGGCCCTCAGGCCGGTAACACTAAAGTAAACAAAGCGGGCAGTGGTGTTTATGGTGGCAGATACCTCTCTAGCTCCCTGCTGACTCAGACTCAGCAAGGCGCCTGTGGGGCCTTTTTGCCCTGTGTGGGATCCCTTTTAGGTCAATACCTTTGTCACTTAAACCAACAGACCAGAATCTCTTTCTGCCATGCTGCTGTGGTGCTGCTGATGAAGAGGACTAGAGAGCAGGGGCCCTCTGGCCATCAGGTCACTGAGTTAGCAGCTCTAATGTGGGGTAGGATTGGGGGTGCAGCCTTGCTCTCAGCACCAGATGGTGTTCCCTCCCAAGGCTAGGCTCTGCAGTTCCAGACTCCCAGTTCTTAACTGTGAAAACTGAAGCTTACTAATCCTGAGGGCTGAAGTAAAAGCCCAGGAGCCTTGGTTCTCAGGCTGTCTTTCTTCTGTTTTACATGTTCATTGGTGAAGCAGCCTGTCAGGCTAGGCATCCTATGATAAGAGACTTTTTGCATTGTTAGGTCCTTGGTGGAGTTGGAAGATAAAGTGATTACCATTGACTCAGTTGGAAAATGTCCTTTTCAAACAACCATTTTGGGGGTCTGGGGCTCTTAGGCCACATTCCCTGGGAGGGAAAATTTTGTGCTGTCATGAACATGAACTTTTCCTGGGGTAATAGGACTGGAGGTGTTAGTGGGACTTTAAAATGTATGTCTGTAGCCAGGAGGTGACTGATATGGCCTTGTACCTGGCAGGCCCTGAATAGGTCAATGGCTTTGAACTTGCTGGTTGACTTGGGAGAGCTGGCCATGTGACGGAGAGCTGGCCATGTGACTAAGTGACTGGGTGATGGCACAAACATCACTTTTCCTGATGGGGACCAGGAGCTGGATCTGAGTTCAGCCAGTGGACGTTTGCATCTCATGGCCAATTTGTCAGAAGGTAGAGTTTCCCTGCAGAGCAAAGAAGAGAGGGTTAAATTTTAAATTTTAAATCGGGTTGGGACCTAACCCCACCTTTGCTTTCCCCTTTAGGTTCTGGAATCCAGCTACCAACCACAGCAGCTGCTGCTGCAGCCCAAGCTGCTGCTTTACAACTGAATGAGGCAGTTCCCCTGGGGGCCCTGAACCCAGTGGCTCTGACTGGTGGATTTGGACTTGGGAAAGGGAGAGAATGGTCGGGGTCTGGAAAGAAGGGATGCTGTGTGCTCACCAATTCACTCTGCCTCTCTGTCCCAGCTCTGAGTCTGGCCCTGAACCTTGCCCCCCAGGCAGTCACCTCTCAGTGCTTCCAGCTTTCCAGCCTCTTTACCCCCCAAACCATGGTGAGTCTCAGGACCTAGCTCATTTTAGTCTTTGGTTATTTTCTTTTCCTTTGGCTTCCCATTTACTTACCTCTTCTCCTTTCTACAGGTAAATCAGTGGCACCGTACACTGCTTCCCTGTGCTTCTAGGTCCTGCCCTTCTCTTTTCCTCATCTGCCCTCCCACAGCCCCTTCTCTACATTTTGTGGACCAAGCTATCCTGAGGGCATGGACATTGATTGACTCGGGGGGAAATCGGAGCCACCTTAGACACCAAGAAGAGCTCCTGCCTATGGCCCCGTTGGGAATGGATCCTGCTGAGCAACGCAACTAACACCTGCACTGAACACCTGTTTCTCCATATATGTAGTCTGCTGGGGTGACCTGCCAACCACCTCTCAGTGATCCCTTGATTCCTCCCCCATTGGGAAGGCCATAGGGCGTTAACTGAAGGCACTAACTGCTCTCCTTTTCCTATACCTTTACAATCTGTTGAGGAAAACCCTTAAGACCTCTAGTCCAAGAGGACTTTGGGATTTGGGGGGTGAACCTTGAAGGTGCTGGCTTGCTGCTGCCAGGGCACTGGAAGATAGCATGGACTTGTGTGTTGTGAGGCCTGTCTTAGACCTAAGCCTACCTTAGAACTACTGCTATGGGCTCAGCATCTTTTTGGGAATGATTTATCCTGCCAGGCATTTTGGATGTCATAGGGGGATTCAGGAATTTTGTGAAAGGTGGAGTACCTTTCCATTATCTGCCCTCTTTTTTGTATAGTTGTCCTTCCTCCCAGGTCCTTCCTTTGGCCCAGTGTAGGAGGGTGGAGGAGAGGCTGCTACTCTGCTACTTCCCATGTGCCTCTACCATGGGCTCAGCCCCAGCTGTTAAAGCTGCTCCTGTCCCCTACCTGGGCACGTGTGAGCCTTTCTCACTGGATTTTATACCCTTGTGTCTGTGTATGTAAATGTGTATGTGTGTATACACATACACACATAGGCATTATGTATTTGTGTATATATACATACATATATGTATGTACGTATATATAAACTGTATGAAAGGCAAGCCCCACTTTGTGGCTGCTGCCCACATGTGTGTCAGTTACTTGCTGTGTCTGTCACCTTCTCATGAGCCAAAATCATGAATAGTTCTTCTAGGGATATAAAACATTTGTAATGCCATTGCATTTTATTTCAATTCTGTTTCATTTAGCCTTTAGGAAGAAAAATGGACAGACCTCTCAGCTCCCATCTGGGTCTGCATTCCATGGTCTCGTCCTCCATCTGTCTACATAACCTCCAAACCTTTGTGCCCACTGGACAAGCCTCCAGCCTCATTGTGCCTAAGGACAGCTCTTGTCTTTCCACCAGATGGCAGTGTGACAGTAGCACATTCTGCACCTTCCTCCAGGGGTGTTTGATTATCTTGAAGAGCTTAAGTACCAGTGAAGCCCCTAAACTCACCATTCACCACTGGCCTCCATACCCACCTTTGGCCCTCTGTATAGTAGAAATCCCAGTCCAATATCCAAAGGGGTCTGGGCACCACATGGCAGGACTGCCCAGGCCTTAAGTCCGCTATTGTCTCAGTATCTCCCAACCCTTGCATTCCCTATAGCTCTGCCTGCGCCAACACAGGTCTGAATTCTCAGGGAGCTCAGCCTTTCAGGAATGGCCCTGCCAAAGCAGATACACACCTTCCTTTTCCTGTCTTGTAGGACTTAAAGCAAGAGGCTGGCCAGAGCCTGGCTCACCAGCTAGGGACCAACCAAGAGGAGGTCTGAGGTTCAGGGGCAAGGCTCTCTGGGGCTCCTCCATTCTTTCCTGGTGTCTATGGCAACCGAATGTTAAGAATTTATTGTCATGCTAAAAATACGGTAATTGCTGCTAGGTTTTAATTTGTCAGCTCTCAGACTTCGAAGCAGAGTGATGTTTTTGGTAATGTTAGCTTACAGGGTGGCTTTTAACACTGAAGTATTAAGTAGTTGCAGCCTGCTTGTGGCATACAAGGCCTTAGGGACCCAGGGCTAGCTCTTGTCTTCCTGGCTGCTGAAGTCTCAATTGCTGTTCACCCCCACCCCTTCCCTATCCAGTTTGCTCTCTGGCCCTGGGGGAAGGGATGGTGGCGGCATTATTTTAAGGTAGGAGCAGCTGGCTATGGCCCAATCTCTCTATGGTTATTGATTTGGCTGCTGATGGATCCTGCGAAGCAAAGTTCGGATGTGTGTGTGAGGCAGCGTATAAGGCTCTGGACCAGGCCTTCTCTTGGCAATCTTGAATTCCTCCAACTGTAAATACCCATAGGCCTTGCCTACCTGCCTCAGCTGGGTCCCCCTCTCTGCTTGGTTTCCTTATGTTCCCATCCCTACCTACTTTGGTTTTCCTGTACTTTGGTTCCTCCTACCTCAGTTCTTGCATTGTTCTTAGTTCCTTGTACAGCTTGTCTAGGGAAGAGACTGGTGGAAATGAGGAAACATCTAAAGCAGCAACTGTAGTCTTAACCCATGTAAGGTGACAGCATCTAGTAAGTGACAGCTGGTGTCATTGCATATGACTCAGCACCTTTTTGTTACTCATCTCTCTTTTGGGGGTGGTTGGAGTGGAGAGAAGGGGGGCCATAAACAAGCTGTGGGCTCAGGCTAAGGTAGAAGAAACCTCCCTCAATTTCTGCCTGAGCCTGGTGGTAGAAGTAAGTGACCCAGATCCTTTCCCAGCATGGTTAGAATTTCCCCACCAGTCCTCAGTTCTAAATGGGATTTTCACCTGACTTTGGCTTATAACCTGTGCTTCTGTCATCCCTAAGGCAGTGGCATTTCCTCCCTGTTCTTTAAACTGCTGTTCTTGAGTTTGGGATTTGTTCGGCTTGCTTTCTTCTTAGGTGCCAACAACCCCCAGATGTGAGCTACCAGTGGAAGCAGGGGTTTGACCTATCTATGCACCTTTGTTGGCACTTAGGATGGAGGAAAAGGAGTTAAAAACTTGGAGTGAAATCTTGTCACAGCCCCTCCTTTCTCTAAGGGAAGGGTCTGGTGAGAACTGGGAAGCAATTCTTGGGCAGTAAGAAGCAGCTATCCTGCCTCTAACCAGTGAGGTGGAAGGTGGTGGAGTAATGATAATTGTTGCATTCCACAGGATTTGGTGTGGGGTAGGCCCTGCTTTAATCACTGCATATGTCTTGAATTATGTATTCCTCACGAGGATCCTCCAGGGTAGAAGCTTTTGTATACTTTGTAAATGAGGAAACTGATAGCCAAAGAGGTTAAAATAAATTGCCCCACAATTATAATCAGCAGGTTTGAGATTCCAATCCAGGCAGTCTGGCTTTATATGCCTTGATATTAATCTTAACCCACCTTTCAGCACTAAGAAAAGCTAAGGCCTTGGAGTCACGGGGAAGTATAACTTTCTCTCTATACCCAGAATTTTCAGTATATCCTGAATTTTTCCACTTCCTTGTCTTCTCATCTTGTTCTCTCTTCCCACAGGTTCTGGTCAAAGTCCTGTCCTTTAAGACTCTGAAGCTTTCCTCGTTGGAGTTGATTTCTCTTTTCAGTATTCTTTGTCCTATTAGAGGTCTTATTCTGTGTTTATTTACAGTTCTTTTTAAATTTTTCTAGGTGGTTATAGTCTGTATGAGGCCAGCCTTTTTCATTACTGCTTGCTTTGCACGTATTACATGTCTGTTGAGTTAATTCCTTCTCAGCTTAGAGCCAGGCTTCTGAAGGCCATCCATTCTAGCCTGCTTTCTCTAGCAGCCTCAGCCATTCCTTCCTCACCTCTCCAAAAGAGGAGGTAGCTTCACTCTTTCAGGTGTTACCATGGTAGTCCCTGATTCTCTTTTTAAAGTGCTGCTTACCAGAGACATGTTTCTATGGCAACCAGGTGAAGTCAGTAGTCATGAGCTGGATGCAGGAAAGGAATTTGGGTATGAGAAACCGTGCAGCTCAATCTTCTGGCTTCAAGTATCCCTTCTCCTTTGTGACTTATGCACTTCATATCCAGAACTCATTTGCTCTCAGTGTGCTCTTGGTTGAGAGAGCTCTGTGAGAGATGAAGCAGACCAACCAACTTAACTCACGTGGAAGTGGAGGCAAGGAAGGACCTGAATAAAGATCACTTTTAAAAGTTGGATGAGTTCTCTTAGCTGTCCCAGGTGATCTGCTCTCAAGAGCCTGTAAGAATTGGCTGCAATTACAAGAGAGCCATTAAGCAGTTATTTTTTTTATTTTTTATTTTTATTTTTATTTTTGTGTGTGTGTGTGCGCGTGTGTGTGTGCGTGTGTGTGTGTGTGTGTGTTTTAAGCAGTTATTTTTGAGGGCAATGGGAAGATGGGTGAGGTACCTGAAGACTGGAAAGGGGCTGGTCAGTGCTGGTTTGCAGAAAGCGAAGACAATGACCTTGGAAATAAGAGATTTGTCAAACTCTTGCCAGTGTTCTGCAAAGGAAGAGAGCTTCAGTCAGCTTTCAAGAATCATGAAGCTGACTTGTTCAGAATGAATGGTACTGAGAATTAGCCTCCTCCTGGGCTTTCTCGAACTTCTGGGCCTAGGGGGACCTCCATGCTGTAGCAGAATAGTCAGGCTCTGGAGCAACACTGCATGGTTCAGAGCTTCTGTTACAAACTAGCTGAGTAAGCTTGACTGGTACTTTACTTCTCTAATGCTGACTCCTCATCTATAAGAAGAAAATAATAGTACCTATCTCAGGGATGTGAGGATTAAATGAGATGTATAGAGGGCTTAGAACTTGTTAACTTGTCATTCATTACTAGTGCTGTCGTTATTCCCATCTCTGGATGCCAACACACTTGCCTTTCTATCTGACCCCATTCTCCTCACCAGCTTTAGAGAATATTCAAGATTTAAACGGGGGAGCGAGGGCCCGGCAATGGTGAAAATAAGCCTTAAGTGTTCTGGGCAAAAGTCCCAGGCTTATGAAATCCTGGGTCACATACAGCCAGCCTCCCTTTCAGGAAAACACATCCCACTGGCTCCAGCTCTTTCTGGGCCTGACACTCTGTATAATCGCATTACAATTAGTTGGCTTTGAAAAGTCAGGGTGAGCCCCCCAGATACCTTCAGGGTACCTAGAGCCCTTTGCTTTGGCTAGTGAAAAATCCCAGAGCATTCCGTTAGAGCTCTTTGCTTAGTGCCCCTCCTAATCTCCCTGAGCATTCCTATGGCACCTGCCATTGTTGGGCTCCAGGGCCTAGCCCTACTCTGGCAATTTTCTTTCAGAATAAGTAAATCAGCACAGGTCTTTTCCCTACAGGCAAGTTATAATTTGAACAAAAAACAGAAAACTGCAGTATAATGTCACCACTTAGGCTTTAGTTGCCAAATATTCTTCCCAACCTTTCCCAAAACAACAAATCCAATAATGGGTTACCTGTGAATAGTATGGGAGGCATGTTGGACCTTTGGAATCACAACTGTGATTTGTACCTTCAGAGTGGTGCTGTGCTTTGAGAAGTTAGCAGACTGCCTGGGTGCCTGAACAAGGGACCAAGACACAGGTTGCAAAAGACATTATTTCCACTGGTCATTTGTTTGTATAATGCTTGACAAAGCATGAAGATGTTTGCATTTTTACTTAGTCCTCATGACTGTCCTCAAGAAAGGTAGTATTATCTTCATTTTATAGTTGGGAGAGCTGATGTTCAGAAAGGCAGAGACGTTGAGGAACTTTCTGCATAGACCTCCATTCAGGAAACAGTGGGCCTGTGTGCTAACTAAAATGCTTGCAAGGCCCCACTGAATTTGTATTCACATCTCAAGTTTATAAGGCTGCCAAGCTATGGAGGCATGACCTCAAGATTCAAATAGATGGAAAGGGACCTTGAGCATATATCCATCAAAGAGCACCGAGATGGTAAAGGACTAAACCAGGATGCTCCTGCCTGATTTTGGTGTCCCTTGACAACTTGACTGTACCATCCACCCACATTTTGCTGCTTTTCATACTGAAGGGACCTTACCTCCTGTGGTGGGCTGCCCTCCCATTTCTCCTATGCATTTGCTCATGTAGTTTCAGCACAAGGAGCTTTTTTCTTCTTCCACCTATCTGCAGCCCTCATATATTCTTCAGGGTGCAGTTCCTAAAGGATGCCTTCCAAATTTTCTGTTTCTTCAGAATCTGTAGAGCCCATAATGCAGCCCCCAGTTAGCTGGAATGTGTGATTCGCTACGGTTTTGGCCTTGGCAGTGCTCTCTGGTACCACCTGGAGCTGTCTCTCCAGCTCAACTCTTAAGTTCCTTGAGGGCAGGGATAATGTCTGTCTGTGTTTCTCTTCCCCACATGGGCCAAGACAGTGATTGGCATAGGGCAGTATTTGAGGGAAACAACAGCCATTTGTGGATGAAAAATAAAAATGCCCAGGAAAATTTTACTTAAGCCTTACATGGTTTGGAACTATGTTAGATTAATAAAAAGATGAATGTATGGGAGGACTTTCTGAGCATTTTGAGGGTTTAACCCAGAAGTCTAGTGAAGTACCCTTCCATGACTCTGGCAGCTTTTTAGAAGAGAAGAGCCCCTGGTACAGCCTCTAGAGAAGGTTAGATGCATCTGGGCATAAAGACCCAACTGTAATCAAGAGGCTCAGAGCAGAGGTCAAGACACAGGACTGGCCTCACCTCTGGCCTCTCAGGGGAGAGCACACACCAGTCTATGCTCTCAGCCAGTGAGGAGGTCTTGTGGGCCAGAGGGAGTAGGGGTAGTAGGGGCGGGGCTGGTAAGGGAGCACAGACAGATTCCAAAACAAAATTGTAGCGGTTAAGAGGAGCACATGGACAGAGTAGATCTTAACCCAGCCCTGGCAGCTCAGGGCCCTTTGCCACCAGCCCAGATCCATCAGCCTGGCCCAGCTTTGCCTTGATTGAGGGAAGGGGCAGAATGGCCAGGTTCTAAAAAAAAAAAAAAAAAAAGAATGGCCAGGTTCTCAGAGAAGACCCTTCCCCCTCCAGTCCAGCGGGGAGCATGCCTTCAGCTTCAGTCTGTTCTGAGCTCTTCCCTGTAGGCGTCTGGAGGGAACACACAGATGGGTTGGGCTGATGGGTGTGGCTGATTTGGGAGAGGGAGGCTCATGGTGTGTGGCTCCCCTCATGGGGGAGGTCCTACCATCCTCCTCCTCAGTATGTATATTTTAAGCTTCTGCCACATGAAAAGGCACTTGGCCTTCTTGTTCCTCATCCTCCTTTCTTGCCACATTTGACAGTGGTGGTGGTCTTCCTCTACAAAAACCCTCTTATCTTGGCAGTAGCCACTATAGGCTCATTCCCAGTTCTTCCATTGCCTTTGTGGTGGCTGCATCTCCACCTTCTTCACCTGCCTATCCCCAGAACTCTCATTTTGGTCCCTCTTCTTTCTCTGAAATGCCAATGCTTTAAGTTACTTAGTTTTTGAACAGGTAAAATATGCCATACTTTAAAAGGTACAAAAATGGCATACAATGAAAAGTAAACCTACACCTACCCTCCACCCACCCAGTTCCCTTCCTAGCAGCAATCAGTTCTATCCTGGTTGGTAATTTGTTGGGTCACAGACCCCTTTGGAAATCTGATGAGATCTGTGAACCCTACTCTCAGACAAATGCAGAAACACATCTGGTTGTACCATTTCACAAGAATCACAGATCTCTGAAACCCATGTGTGGTTTGTGGCAAGCATCCCAACCTATATTGTGCCTTTTCCCTTAGTAGTACCCTTAGTATAATTTGTGGGTCCCTGTACTAAATGAAAATGCAGGGCTCCTTGTTTGAAAAGTGTCAGGACATCAGCAGCACGTTAAATAGCATGCACTGCGTCTCATCCTCTGGCCCTTCTACTACCATCTGTGTGATCATTATTTTCTGTCTGTGTCTCTTGCCCTAACTTGTTCTAAATTCCAAACCCAGCTGTTCAGGGAGCTACTGTAAATCTCCATAGGATGTTTTAGTTGCTCAAATTCAGAGTCTCTAAAATGGAGCAATTTACCCCCTAGGTCCTCTGCATTCTAAGTCCTAGTTCTTTGCTATCATCCTACCACTTGCAACTTCTCCCTCTCTTTATACGCAGCCCCTAGTTGCCACTGGTTCTGACTGTCAAGCCCATGCTGTCTCTCCTCTCCCACTGTGGTCTCCCTCAGGATGGTCCTTCATTACCCTCCATATTCATTATTGTGACTGACCCTAAAGTGGGCTCCTCAGGCCTTCTCTGGGTTGCTCCGATCCATGTGCACTGCTCCCAGCCTCCTCTTCCCAAAGAACCATCCTGATCATGTCACTTCCACACTCAAAGACTTTCAGTGACTCTCACTGCCTACAGTTGGGCACAAACTCCTTTGCCTGGCATTTAAGGTCCTTTGCAGTTTGGTTCCAAACCTCCTTTTCCATGCTTCTCTCCTACCCCTCCTCTTCATGTCCCTGAGGTTTCAACCCAACTGTAGAACCATCTGGTACCTCAACGGGCCCAGGGTGTTTTCCTGCATTTTACAGTTTGAACTGCCTCTGTTCATGGCCCCCAGAGTTTAGAGCTGGCTTATTCCAACATAGCCATGTAATTTTTCTAACCCACTCACTACAACCACTGCCCATGGTCCTGCCATTGTATCCCTTGCATTCTGTCCTCTTCCTCTTCTCTCCATCCTTACTAGAGGGAAACCTCACATGCAAAGCTGGATAAAATCGCCATTAAGTATCAAGCAGACATGAGTGGAATCCCAGCCCTGTTCCTTATTGACCTCAGGAAAGTTTACTTAAATGCTCTGTTTCTTCCACAGTAAAAGAGGTGGTAACACCTTATATAGTCAATTAAAGAATTAACAGATAAAGTGAATAAAGTCTTAAGGATAATGTCATTATTCATATTATCCTAACTACCTGCTAGGCTGGCCCCCTTGACTCCTCCCTAACTGCTAAGTACTTGGGAGACATTCTCATCCCTCTTTGTCAGGTTCTGGGAACCTGGGTGGGGTAGAGCAATGGCCTGGCCCTCAGGTACTCAGATAGCTGTATTATATGTCTAGGGGTGAGTGAGCTGCTTTCTCTGCTCCCTTTGCTCAGGCAGCAGCAGGCGTGGGCGTCCCCAGGGGAGGCAGTGACAGCTTCAGTTCTCACACAGGCTTCGCAAGTGACAGTTGGGGTGATGGGGCCCTTCCAGGGGAGGTGCAGGCCAACCATCATGCCCCAGCTGATGGGCCTTCCTGGTGGATGTGGGCCCCACTTTAAACCAGCTCAGGTCATAGCTGAGTGTAGCTCTGGGCCCTGAATGTAGCCTCTGGCCTGCTCCTTGCAGGACAAGTGTGATAAGGAAATGGAGCCTAGAGTCTGTGGACTTGGTCTCACTGTGTCACCAAGTCACTAAATTACTTCTAGCAGGTCCCTGCTCCCCTCCAGGCCCATTTTCTCATCCTCAAAAGGATGACCTTGGATCCAATTACCTTTAAGGGCCTGTGGCCCCTTGTCATGGACCACCCCAGGACTAAGCTAGTTCCAGAGCCTCCCTAGAGATTTAGGTTCCTTGCACCCCTGGGCCTGAGTTTTTTTGTCTGTAATAGTTTTTGTATCTTCATCCATCCTGTCCCTGGGGCTTTCAGAAAGAGTCAAAATGAGCAAGTAGAAAAATTCTTTATTGCAAAGGGAAGGGTGGCCCCTTTGGTGCCTCCCGGGCCCTGGTCAAAGGGGCATTGCCACCACTCAGCTCTTCACAATGGCATCTGAAGGCAGAAGTCTGTCCACACCGTAACTTTAATAACCTTAAAAGGGAAGTGCCCTGGTGAAATGGTAAATCACAGAATCAATTTTGAAAAACAGCGCTTTCAGGCCCTTGCCTTTAAGAACTTACCGGCAAAGTGGACAGGTGCAGCAGATAAGAGCCAGAACCTTTTAGGAAGTCTCAAAGAAGCATCTCCGTGTCTTTAAAAGGTGAGGCATATTCGCAAAGAATATAAAGGTGGAAAACTGTACAGGTGTCTACAAAGCACTTTGCCAGTTGTCGCTTTTAGGATCTCTTTACAGGAGAAGTGGTCAAAAGTGAATTTATAAAAAGCAATACCTTGCAGAGCTATTTCCCTTCCGACCCGCAGGAACTGCCCCGCCCGCAGGTCTGCGTCCGCCCCCCCCCCGCCCCCCGCCCCCCGCCGCCTCCTAGGCGGGCTCCGGGGGCAGTAGGTGTCTCCGTGTGGGTGGGGACGGGGGCGGGGCGACGCCAGCCGGGTTCCGGGGCGTGGGGGGCCCGCCGGGGCCCTGCCCCCGAGGTCACACCGGGGCGTCCTGGAAGTTTTTGGTTTGGTTTCCTAGACTGTCTTCACAAAGGAAGCCGGACATGGGGCAGGAGGCGGGGCGAGGGGACGAGCCGAGGGCTCGGTGACCATGGCGACCCCCGGTGACCATGGAGACTGCGGCTCAGAGCACCGAGAGGTCGTGACACGACCTGGAACGCTGCTTGAAGAACTTGGCGTTGCGCGGCACCAAGTGGGCAAGGAAGCGCTTGGCCTTCTTGGTGAGGCTCTCGCGGCGCGCAGGCGGCGCGGGGCTCTGGGGATTACCCCACTCGTGCCGCGGACCTCCCGGACAGCCCCGGCCCCGCCGCAGCCGGATCTGGCGCACCGCGCCCTCGAAAAGCTCCCGCGTGTTGTGGTGTAGCGCGGCCGACGTCTCGATATGCTTGCAGCTCAGTGTCCCTGCCAGGTGGCGGCCCTCTGCAGGAAGAGAGCAGCTCAGGCGCCTGCCGGGCTGCACTGGGTCCGCGCAGGGGAAGGGTGGGCCGGGAGGTCCCGGGTCTGCCGTGGAAAGGGACTGGGGCAAGCAAATCTTGCAAACTTAGAGAACAAGGCAGGGGTCATTCGGTGGTGATGCGGGGCAGAAAAGGGCCATGGAGCACAGGGTAGGAGGAGGGAAGAGAAGAATTTTCCGGTTCTAGGTGTGGCCATTGATAGTCCTACCTTAGCCTAGGGCTAAATGCAATTGAGTTTGGGCACCCTTCTGAAGGTTAAAAGGCCTTTTGAAAAAGCGGTGACTCCTCTGAGATTGCAAGTATGGATGAGATTCAGGATACCCACCCTCCAGTGAGACCTCCCGGGAGCGGGCCAAGTCGCTCTTGTTTCCAACGAGGATGACAGGCAGGTCGTGGTGGGGCCTCCCAGCCCGGAGCCGAAGTAGGGTCTCTGGAACTTTGAAGAAGCTTCGACGGTCGGTGACTGAGAAGACGATGAGAAAGGCATCCCCGGTCTGAAGGCAGTGGTCCCTCAGCAACCCCCCTGCATCACCCTGCAGATGGGCAGAGAGTGGTGCAATGGCAGGGCTGGAGGCATGGGAGAACCTGTCCAGCACCTACATCTTAAGGATGAGGAATCAGGTTGTGAGGGAGAAGCCACCTGCTTAGGACAGCAGACCTAGTTAATGGCACAACTCCATACAAAGTGTGATTATGGAGGAGGGAGAAGTTTGTAATGTGAACCTGACAGGGGAGAATTGGGGACATAGGATTCTCGAGTAGGATCCTACTTTCCTCTGTTTAAATTCTTAATTTAAAAATGAATGCTATTCAAATGTATCTCTCTTCTCCACATAGTAACCATTTTTGTCCAAATATTCACAAGTCCTCACTATTTTTTCCTTCCCTGATATTCCAGAGCCCTGAGCTCTTATCCTATCAGCTCATACTTTTCCAGGCTGAAAAATACATAGATGGGGTAAATTTCAGGGTGTTCACCCTGGCTTGCAGCTGCAGGGTTTGTCAAATTTAGATCTTAGTTTTCCTCTGGGTCAGAAGATCCTAGAAAGACAGCAACTCTCAGTTCCCTCCTGTGCACAATGGTATGGACCTTTGGTCTCTGAAATGATCCCTAGGGAAGGTCAGGTTCCAGTACCTGCTGCAACCAGGGCTGCAGTGCCACCAGCCTCCAGCCAGACTCTGCCCCTCCCCAGCTCTCCCAGGTTCATCACCTGCTTGCAGCCACATCTTAGTTCTCACCTGTTCCCAGATGTCATAAACAACTAGAGTCACTTCCTCCTTATCCACCATGATGCGTCTCTCATAGGTGTCCTCTGTTGGGAAATAAGGACAGGGAATATGGAGCCTGTTAGGATGCTCCCTAATACTGTGAGACCTGGTAATCAGAGATGCCTCAGATCCCAGCATCAGGGAACACCCTCCAGGGAGGTTGCCACAGAAAGCACTGGAGCACCTTTTAGGTTCTGGCCTCTGGGGGCTGCTCATGCCTTGAGCTCTACCATCCCTGACTAGGGCTCCAGAGGTGCCCTCAAGATTTGCAGGGCTCCCCCCAAATACCTGGGTTCTCCGGCTCATGGGCACTGTCTCCCTGAAGACTGCCGAAGGTGCCTGCTAGGGTGCTCTTGCCCACACCGCTCTCCCCCACCAGCATGACCTTGAAGATGCCATCCTTTTGGGTGGGGGCTGCCTCCCCCGAGCCCAAGGAGTCAGAGGAGCCAGAGGATGAGGCTTGAGGTGGCCAGTCAAGTTCATCTACAGCCTGGGCCCGCCGCAGCTGGTGCTTGTAGGGGACAGGCATACTGCCTCTTCTTCTGGGGGCTCCTGGGGCAGGGGGTGGCCCACCCCGTTCCAACCCTGCCAGCAGTTTCTCTGGCTTCAGCAGTGTGGCATCTGCTTCTGGGAGTCAAAGAGAAGGAAGCTATGAGTGGAATATGCCTAGCCATCTGCAGAGGGCTCAGTCCTGGCTGTTCAGGCTTCAGAAGCCCAGTCTATGACCATGACCCAGAGGAGCTGAGAATCATTGGTTTTACACTGAGCTCCCCTTGAAGCCTTAACTGGTGGGATGCCAATGAGCTCACCTGAAGGCTTGCCAATGTGGTTCCAGCCATAACCTGTTCAAAACATGCCCTGTGCAGGCGTGGTACCTGTGCACAGGCTCACACACCCACTCACATTTCACACTGATACACAGGCACACCCCCAGACTAGGCCTCTGGCCCTGGGGTCTGCCCCTCCTTTCACCAAGAGGCCCTGTTCCCTGCTGCTTTGTGCCCTGGTAATCCCCGTACTGGGAGGGGCCTGGGCACTGAGAAACTGAAGCTGCTGCCCAGGTTCTGGGGGCTGGGTACTAGTAGAGTCAAAAACTTTGTGGGGATCCTGTCCCCAGAGAAGGGCCTTTGCTCTGAGAGAGGTGTGTATGGGGTCTTCATAGATGTGTGAGGGGCTGCCTCTTCCTGTAGCCCTGTAGGTGAGCATTCCCCAGTGCACAGCTGTATGAGATTCCAGAATGCCTGACTGTCCCTGGGAGTCCCAGAGAATATTGTGTTCTGGTTAGGCAGAGGAAGAGAAGGAGAGAGCCGAGCAGGGAGCACGAGAGGGAGGGTAACAATGCTTGGGTCAGGGTTAAGTGGAGGAGGAATGACAGATACAACAAAGGGGGATGGAGAGAGGCTGCAAATAGCCCAGGATCAATACTTGGCTGGCAGCCAGGGCCTCCAGGAGCCAGAGAAACCCTTAACACTGGTCCCCAGAGTAGCCCCTGGCTTGTGATTTACAGGCTCTGGCTGCCCCTTCCCTTTCCTCCTTCCCTCCTGTCTGTCTCAGCTTCTTGGGAATGAGGCTGACCTAGGGGCTAAGCACCAGTTTGCCCAGCAGAGCCCTGGAAGTGATGGGGGAGGGGTGTTCAGGCAGTAAGACCATCCCCCCAAGCCAGGCCCCCAGCCCAGCCCCACTCCTACTGTGAGCCAGAGGCTTCCCTACTTCCAGAGACACTCTTCCCGTCTTGCTTTTTGGGTTTGAGCTCCTTCAACCCCTAGTTCTGATCTCCCCACTAAAGCTGAAGCTTCCACCCCCATGGTTTCAGCCAGAACCTGCTCAACTCAGTCCTCACCTGGTGTGGGTGTCCCTGGAGGGCAGGCCTGATGGCTGCCAGCGGGGCAGAGCGCTGTGGTTTCTGTGTCTCTGTCCATGTCAGTGTCGAGGTCCATGTGCATCAGTATGCGTGTGCGTGTGCAGCCGGGAGGCTAGCAGCACCCGCTCCCTCACTCAGCATCACTGTCAGCTTTTCTCTTTAAATACCACCCTCTCGTGCTCTCCCCCCAGACACCTGGAGAAATTGTCCCGCCCCTAATGAAGTCACACATGCTAATGAGGAGTGATGTCAGCGGGATTCCCTCCTTTTTGCCCCCCCTTCCTTTGCTTAGCTTCCCTTCGGGAGCACAGAGACTGCTGATTGTGGTTAGGAACGGAACAAAGTCAGAGGGGTAGAAGAGATAGGGGTTCAAATAAGTGTGGCAAGGGATCAGTGGGTAAGAGAGCTGAGGATGGCAGGAGGAAAGGACGCAGGAACTGGGAGGTCTTTCTCCAGGAGCCAGAACTATGCATCATTTGTTTCTGTATTCTCAGCTCCTACCCCAGTGTACAGCCCAGAGTTGTTGTTCACTGGCTAAATAGAGGAGGTTGAGGCAGAAACCAATAGAGATGCAGGGACAGGGGACAACCACCCTGTCACCAAATTTCCCTGCCTCTCTCCTTCCCCATTCCACTCATTCTGGGCCAAGAACCACAGAAATACTCATTTCCCAGCATGACCACTAGGCAGATGGGGGTTTTGAGGAAGGAGAAATGGCTACCTTGTTTGTGCAGCTCCAATTGGTTGCTAGGTTCAGGTTGTTGCTAACCATGGCCCAGTCCATTTCCCCTACCCCATGCATTGTCACCTTTCCTTTGTTCCCTCTTCACCAGGCCCACCAACTAGTGTTTATCAGAGAAGGAAAAAAGGGAGAGATGAGAGCTAGCCTTCTAGGAAAAGTTCCCAGTCCCAAGTTGGGGGTGAGGAGTGGCAGCCCCCTCCCAAGCTCTCTGGGGCCACAGCCAGGACTGCAGACCACACAGGGTGCACACACAACCATGTCTGCCTCTTTGTGGGAAGCCAGGGTGTCATGTCCCCTTTACTGTGTTCCCTTCAGGTTCCCACACTCGTCTTCCTTCCTGCCACCCTCAAGCACCCAAGGAAATTCTGATTTCCTAGCCCCTTCTCTCCTCCTTTTTTGTCAGGCACTGTGCTGGGAACCTTCCTGTATCACCTCCTTTCATTCTCATGACCCTAAGGTGCAGAATGGAGGGTGGGAAGCCTGGGCCCAGATCAATCCCCACCCAGATCTTTCCAATGCCAAAGACTGTTTTTCATCTTTACATTATTGCTGCCTTGTCTATTATTGGGAACAGTCTATTATACAATCTTCAGTGGACTTTTTCAATCAAAGAGGCAGATAATAATCTTAGGACTAATGTGCAGTGACATTTCACTTATTTGGAGGTCAACTACAGGGCACATCGTGGGGTTAATGGGGCACAAGAGACTCCTGAGCAGCTGTGATACTCATATGCATTACTCACTGGATAGGCTCTCTTGTCCTCAATCATGGCCCACTTGTCCTTAATTTATTTACAGTAAGTTCATGTATGTTCCTGTCCTCATACAGAGTAGAAGCACATCTAGAGCAAGTGTCCCCTGATGTCTGCTAGCAAGGCAAGCAACACCACAATTTTTTAATAGTTGCAAGCATTTTAAAAGTGGTCTAGGGTCATTTGGCAACAAGATAGCTAGCTTCCCTGATACTGTTACAGCTTCTGACACCACTGCTACAGAGAAGCCATTGGGTTCTAGGAATGATCCTCAGCTATACAGAAATATTTATTTTTCAGCTGTACTGAAGATGAGTGTAATGTCTGGAATCACTTATTTGCAAAATGAGTTTTCAAAAAAGTTCTAAATTATGAAGGGGTGAACTTTATGTATCTGAAAAAACTCAAGTGGTTATTCAGTTCTATGATACCAGGTAAGAGTGGGTCAGGAGTGGCAGACCCCAGCAAGGATTCTTCACCATGTCCTCTGCTTGTCCTCAGGCTTGCCTGGCTTCCACCTTGCATCACCATCTCTCTAGTCCCACTACTAAGAGGCTACACATAGTAGCCCACACCCAGGAATGGGAGGTCCTGATGAATAGTGGACAAGGGTGAGATTTGGAGCCGGACATATGCAGTTTTAAATCTGCCTCTCAGTAGAGACTGGGCCTCTGAAGCTGCTCCTGACCCTTCAATTGGGGTTATGATGCCTATGACTCAGCCATATGAAAAAGTTACCTACATATGGAAAAAGATCTGGCACTCAGCAGGTTGCCCAACTATTTGGGGTTCTCACAGCCTCAGACTATGAGACTAGGGGTCCCTCTCTCTTCCCAGTGGGCCTAGAGCTTGGTTCAGGCTGATTCTGCTCCCTCAGGACCGAATTCTAGTATCTGCTGTTACCTCAGATTCCTAGCCTGATCCCCATCTCATGCTGAGATCACCTCCCTCCTCCCCACTGAAAGCCTTGATACTGATACTGGGCACCTTGGATTGTAGTGTCTCTTGAGAGGATCTGAAATCGCCTCATTTCTTTTTCTTTAGACCTTGGTGAAAATAAACTTGGGTGATGCTCCTCAAAGCCCCATCTCTTCTGGGTAGGACCCTCTGTCTTAGTTTCTCCATTCTGCCTCTACAAGACCACTCCTCTTTCCCCACCAACCTGGGGCTTCATTGATAAAAACAGTGTTACCCTTTGCACATCCTGGAGCACACACTGAGCACCTAGAGAGCCTTCTTTCAAGCCTACAAATCTATACACCCAGGCCTTCCCAGTCAATCTATATGCCCAGTCCTACCCTCAAGTCCTCCCTTCAGGTGTCTGAAGCATTCCACCAGGAGCATTCTTCTACCTTAAGTCTTTGTCCACTTTCAAATTATAAATATCCCAGGCAATAAAAGGCCTGGAGCAGGACGGCGAATGAGGCTATAAGACTGAAGGTTTTTGTGTGGCTATGGGGGAAGAGAGAAGCAAGGTAGAGGACAGAGATCAGGTGATAGAGAGGCATAGGAGGGGGAAGCAACAGTCGTGTTTCACTGTTTTCACTGGGCCTGGCGCTAGTGGGACCCAGGGATTGTCTACCCTTGGGAGGACCCAACAGGAAACCAGTAAGCAAGGATAGGATCTCTGGAAGTCCCCTCCCTAATCTCTGGAGAGGGTCTGCAGTGAAAGCTTGAGACTTTTCTGAGCCAAGATACCAGGGGCCCAGGACTGTACCACATCCCCTCTGCCACTTTAGTAGGCTCTCGCCTGCTGGGATGGACCCATTATGCAGTTAGTGCTGGGAGTAAGGAGGCCGACAGGGTGTCATCAACAGGCCCCTCCACCAGACGGTTGTGGATAGACCAGGCCAGGAAAAAAGAGTAAGAGTGGGCCTCAGGGGAGCCCATTTCCTGCCTCTGTTAGGGAATGCCTCAGCTCTGCTCCTGGGATATCACCCCCACCCCCACAGGCTCCTTTTGTATCCCTTGTCCCATCTGCAAACTCTGGGACAGCTTCTGTCACCTTGCTTACTAGAAGCCAGGTCCCAACATTTCTTAAACCATTCCCTCTTCCACCACCCTCTCCAACTCTTCAGTTCTGGCCACTGCTTATGCTCCTGCCTTTTCTCAGGAGATGCAGGGCCCAGCCTACTGCCCCAGCCTTCATGTGGGCTTAAGTTTGCTTATCCTGTGGACTCACCCTGGCTAGAATTCACAACTCTATTCCAACTACTGAAAGCATTCTTTAGAACCTAGTTTGGGCCCTCTTCCAGGAAGACCTCTTGGATTTGGCCAAGGTGATGCCAGCGTCTCCATACCCTGAATGTTAGTGATTTTTCCTTGACTCATCTTTGCCGGCTTTGAGGCATCCTGAGAGTTCATCTTTCTTGCTGAGGACAGACTGAGTGTGCCTGGTGGGGACAGAGGGTGGAGAGAGGAGTCATGCCTCCTGAGTTCCACTAGGGACAATCTGCTCCTGAGATCTGTGCTCTGGAATACTCTATAAATGGGAACCTTCCCAGCTATAGGGCCCAGCTGGCTTATCACACTTCCGGCCTGGCAGTAAGGAAACTCGGTGGTCACCCCTGGTGTCGATCACTGTAGAGCTGAGCTGAAGGTGGAGACGGTTTGTCCTTAGAGGTTCTAGAACTTTCTTACCTTCTGCGTGGTATACAAGTCAAGGGTGTGTGGTTAGAAGACTAATAGGAAGAGAGCAGGAGTGGAGAGCATAGTGAAGGCCTTCATAGAAGGGGTGAGGTGAGGTAAGCATAAACTGAGATGGGTAGAGAGGCAGGGCTCAGGCTCACAGCTCATTTACAAAAATCTTGCATTCTGATTCCTTTATTTTCAACCTTGACTTCTTGGGCAAGGACCTAGCTATGGGAAAAAATGCATTTGTTGTGCTCTTTTTATCGGCAAGCCCTTGAGGAAGGATCACAGTTGACAAAATCTGAGGCCCTGCCCAAATCCTCTCCTTTGGGGCTGGATGTCCCCAGCCAGTTGGCATTCTGGTGCTTAAGGCCTCTCTTGGGTGGGGATCTGGCAAGGATGGAGTGTCCAGGCCTATGATCCTTTAAAAACTTAACTTTTTCAAAACAACCACCCAAATGGTGGTGGTGGTGGAGAGGGTACTAGTAGGTAGAGGCTCTGGCCATGTGCAGAGGAGCTCTGTGTGCACCCTCTCCCTGCCTGAGGGACATCTAACTTTACAGCAGGTAGAGAGTCAGTGGGAGGGCCAGGGAGGGTAGTGGTGGAAGGGAAGCTGACCTTCCTAAAGGGTTGCTGTTACTGTGACTACAGCCCCCAGGAAAGCCAGGTCACCTAGGCAAGCAGCGGCTCATCCTCTGCTTCGACCACCCAGACCCCTGGCTCAGCCAGTGGTACCAGCAACACATCATCTTCATCCTCTGGGGATGGGACTGTTGTGGGTCCAGCTGGGGTCCGGGTTGGCCCTGGGGTCTGAAGGCTGGGCAGAAGGCGGCCTCGCAGGGCCTGCACCACTCCAGACAGCAGTGATGGCTCCACGAATGCTGAGGGCAGTGGCCCCAGGGTCTCTGGGACAATAGGAAGGGCTGGAGACATGCTGGCAGACGGGAGGGGAGCCTTGACAGGCAATGGGGGTGCCTGTTCCCCGTCCTGGCCACCCACTGCTCCACCCTCGCAGGCTGGGCCTGTGCTGTCATCTAGGGCCTCAAGGGGAGCAGCAGAAGGTGTGACCTGGGATCTGGTCTCAGGGGTCGGGGCTGGGGGGTTGGCCCGAGGAAGCAGGCCCCAGCGGCGGAGACGGCGCACCAGGCGGCGCACAGAGCGGCCCCGCTGGCGGCGACGGGCTCCTGAAGCACCCCCTGGAGTCATATCTTGGCGCAAGATCTGCAGCAGAGAACGCAGGTTGCCCAGCACTGAGTTCTGCAAGGGAAGGAGGCCGACATCAGAGTCAAAGGGATGGGGAGGGCCAGAGGCATGGAAGAGGAAGAGCACAGTGCAGGGCCACAGCAGTGCTGGAGCAGGAGGTGCTAGGGTTGGGGAAGGTGACTTACATCATTTGGGTTCTCTGTAGGGAAGTCCTCTACAGGCGGGATGGCACCCTGGGCAATGAGCTGCCCATAGGAGGGAGGGGCCTGCTGTTGTATGATCTCGGCCTCCATCCGGGAGAGGGGGGCAAAGATACTGGAAGGAATGTGGGCCGTCAGTTATAGGTGGTCTGAGCAGCCTGTCACAGCCTCGGCAGGCTTCTTCCCTCCACACCCAGGCCAGGACAACTGGAGCTATAACTTCCCCGAAAGTCATCTGAGGTCCCCTTCTTCCCTGAGATTGCTTTCAGGATCTGGACTTGTCGTTCCCTCAGAGGAGCACCCCTGTCCCTAAAGCTGGACAACCCCAGGAGCCAACCTATAAGCTGGTCACTGGAACCTGTCCCTAATGCGGGCACTCTCATGGTCTCCTGGGGCTTTGTGTCACAGTCTCACACTGGGCCTCCACTTGTCTACAGTCAGCTGCACTCTCACTGACCTGTACTCCTGGGTCCGAATGGCATACAGCTTGCAGGTGCAGCCCAGGGCGATGACCAGCAGCAAGCCGCAAACTAGGCTGCCAATGACTGCAGCTGTGATGACCTTGCGGGGCAGAGCATAGGAGCAGTCCCATTCATCGCTGCCATCGGCACAGTCTGGCTGCCCGTCGCACACCCATGTCTCATATACACACTTTTCGTCTCGGCATCGGAAGTTACCAGGCTGACAGTGCCGGCAGCGTCTCTCGTCTGCTCCATCAGCACAGAAGGTCTGGTAGTTGCAGCGGTCAGCAGGCAGGTAGCAGGCTGTGGCACCAGGGGTGCTGGCAGCCCCACAGGGGTAATGTCCAGGTGGGCAGATGGGGCAGTCTTCCTCGTCTGTGCCATCGGCGCAGTCCCATGAGCCATCGCAGCGCTGTGCCTCACTGTAGCAGCGCTCACCTAGGCCCTCACTAGCCCCCAGGCCAGAGCCTAAGCCACAGGGTCGGTCCCAAGGCAGGCAGTACCCCCGCACATGGTATGTGGCATTGAAGCCCCGACCACTGCTCCAAGCAACTGTGTGGTAGGCCACTATGGCTTGGCCAGACAGTGTCTCCACGGTGACAGCTTTGCCATTGCTAAAGTGGGTGAGTCTGCGTAGCAGCTGGGGGGTCTTAGGGGCCTCAGCACCATCATACACATGCACTGCATCTCCATAGCCCAGGTCCAGGGCTGTGAAGCGCACTGCCAGGCGACGGCTGTCATGGGGGTCTAGCAGCCAGAGGCAGGACTGGGGGTGGGAGACTGAGGCCACATGTGAGTATCCAGGGGAGGAAAAGATCCCATAGAAGTCTTGCAAGGTGTGATTGCAGGGTGGAGTGGGGACAGGGGCTGGGGTCAGGTCAGGGAAGGGGTCTGAGCCACAACCTGCCTCATCAGAGCCATCACCACAGGCATTGATTCCATCGCAGCGCTGGGCCAAGGACACACAGCGATGGTTTAGGCACTGGAACTCTTCCTGCAGGCACATCAGCCAATCTGCAGAGGCACCGCGGAGAGGGGCTGTGAAGTACCAGAGCTGGTGGGAGCTCCCCTCCTCCCTGGGGCCTCTACTGCCTGTGCTAACAGCCCCATGGACATCTTGGGACAGCCCACCTTGGCTGTAGGAGAGCAGGAAGCCCTGGCCCATGGGTGCTCTGGCCCCAGCATAGCTGTAGGTGATGGTGACGTTGCCTCCAGGCAACTGCAGAGGGCTGGCAGGGGCCTGACACAAGGAGATCTGTGGCTGGAGTGGGGAGCCCAGGATTAAGCGCTCTGAGCCACAGGCCAGGTGCAGTTTTTGGAACCTACATAGGTGGAGGAAAGCAGAACATGAGATACTCTTGACCACTGCTGTTTTCTTCCTCCCACAGTGCTGTCAGTCTCTACCCTGAGAAGCAAAAACACCTGCCTATCTACAAGCCAAATAAATACCCAAATGAAAACTCAGCCAAATTCCTTTGTAGCAATGGCAACAGTCTTAACAGAGGACTGTGACACCGAGAGACCACGGGATACATGCTAGAGCCCCTTGGAAAAACCAACTTGTCTTCTGGGACTGTGTTAAGAACAGATGGGTCTATAGCATCTTACTACACTGATGGACAGTGACTGTAATGGGGTATGTGGTGGGGACTTGATAATGGGGGGAGTCTAGTAACCATAATGTTGCTCATGTAATTGTACATTAATGACACCAAAAAAATAAATGAAAAATTAAATTGAATTAAAAAAAAAAGAACAGATGGGTCACTTTCCAGTTGCTGTAGCACTGTCACCCATGTATAGTGCTAGCATTAACTGGCAATTACCACACAGTTTGGGGGACCAGAACTCACCAGCCCCTCCCAGTGGTGAGACCTGAGATCACCATGGCATTCTGATCCCTCCCGCCAGCAGCCTCTCCCCAGATTGCCCTTTTCTTTTCACCTACCCTTTTCTGGGTAAATTCACAGGAAGTAAACTGGGTGAACAAATAGGCTGGTACTTAACATGGCAAACCTCATGGCTCAAGGTCAGAGGAGCTGGGGGAGACTTGGACTGTTAAAGAGATTTGGGGATGCAGAGGACGGTTCTAAGCTGATTATGGAATAACTGAATACCGAAAAAGGATGAGCAATGGATTGAAGGACTCCTCAGAGCTGCCACATCGGAGGTCAAGGACTATTGGGCTATTGTATCTAGAGTGACTGTGGTCCTTCCGAGATGACCAAGACCCAAGCTAGGCATCCAACCCAAGCCCAGCTGCGAGGCACCATATTCACCATGTCTGGCCTGGAACAAGTCAGGCTTTTAGTGCAGACTAGGCCAAATCAAATTCTACTCTTCTTCCTATTGACAGGGATGGAATTCCATGGAGCCGAGCGTGATCTCTGAAGGCTTCTACATGGGTTAGGGAGAAGGGAACAGTGTCTTGTTGTGCTTCTCACCTGATTGTTACAGTCTGCTCCTTGCTGCCCAGGATGAGCCAGGTGCAGTTGGCAGGGGAGATGCGGCTTTCCCGTCCTATGGGCCTCTGTAAGGTACCCTGCACTTCCAACAGCACTGCTGGGAGATCCTCACAAGCTGGAAACAGAGGAAGGTAGGGACACTGGTCAAGAGCCTGTTACTGTTCCATTCCTCCTCAGGCTTGAGGTGTTCAAGGCCCTGGGCTCTTCGAGAAGGAGCAGAGAAACTCCCAGTCTCCAACCACACACACTCTGGAGTCAAAATCCTCAGTTTGCCCTCCTCCCCACATTATCATAGCTTTACCTTAAGTATCAACACCACAAACAATTTGAGGTCTGCTTTATGCCAGCCACTAGGCCAGGAAGAACAGCAAATACTGTCTCGACTCTCGGGACTACATCTGGCTCGGGATATTTGGCAAGAACAAAACAGTACCTAACTACCAGATAAGGGCTCACACTGGGTCTCAGATTCTCCATCTGTAGTGTGGATGATCTCCACCTGAAACTATGGTAGGTACCAGAGGAATTCAGGGAAGAGAGAGAAACCTCTGGGGTCTCCCCTCGTTACCAAGCCCGGCACTCCCTACCGGGCTCAGGGCACCCTCTGCTCACCCACATTTGGGAAAATGATCCGGTCTGGATGGGCCAGAGCGCCTCCTAGAGGAAGAGGGAGAAAAGGGCAGGAGAGTGAGTCATCCTTGAGTTTTCTTCACCTGAGCAACTCAAGAAGGGAGCCATCTGGGACTTCCGGGTAGTTTATGGGAAGGGGTGGTGAAGCTGGGGAGGCTGCGGCGAGTGACCTCCAGGAAAGGTGCGGCAGCACGGCCTGTAGGGTGGGTACGGTGATCTAGAGAAGTCAGAGAGAGGATGAGGGCCGAGGGGAGCGGCTGGAGCCTGCCCGCGGTTGGGGCGGGCAGCGCCATGTACGGCAGCAGGGGCTGGGGGGCTTGGGCAGGTAGGGTGAGGGGCCGCGCAGGAAGGGAGCTAGGGCTCCTGGGCTGGGTGACAGCCTTGGGGGCGGGGTGTTGGGTAAGTAGTCTCGTTTCGGTTTCTCACCCAGAAGGAGGAGGAGGAGGATGGTCGGCAGCATCCTGAGAGGTCTGGAGGTGCAGGAAGAGTCCCAGAGTTTATGCCGTCTATTCCGTGAGGAGGCGGTGCAGCTCCGGGCGTTCAGGCTCCCCAGAGCCGCCTCCCCGAGGGGACTCCATGGCCCGGTCTCCTCGACCGGTGCTCTGGATGCCAGGGCTGGGGTGGGGGAGGCGGCGGCAGCCGGGGCGCAGGGGCGGTGCCTCTCGCCAACTTCGGAGTTGTTTTCCCCGGCCGCTGCCGCGCGGTCTTCCCGATGCCAGCTCCCGAAGCTCTGGGAGTCAGCTCGAGGCCTGGCTCTGGGGCGCGCCCTCGCCGGGAGCCCGCCCGCAGGCCGCGAGGGCCCCTGTCCAGGCCTGGCTGCCACCTGCCGGGGCTTGAGGCCACTTCCTCTTCGGGTCAAACTTTGCCGACTGTCAGCCCTCGGGGCCGGCCCGGGCGCTGCTCAACTTCTCCAGCGCGTCCAGCCGGCAGAACGCGGCAGGGGAGCGGGGGAGGGGGGCCTGGCGTCTCGGCTCAGCTCCCGGGCCCGCGCCCTGGAGGTACCCCCGCCTGCCCAGGGGTTGGAGGAACCCGGACGGAGGGAGGGGGCGGAGGACAAACTTGGCCCCACCCCTGCCAATCAGCGCGCGCCCCGCCCACCCGCTCGCCTTAACCCCTTTCCAACCCTGCCACTTGTCAGCTGGGTCCTGGCGCGGCGCGTAACCTTCGCGTTTAACTCTGCTTTGGTAAGTCCTTTCGGTGTAGCACGGTTGTTACCGGACACTACTTCTCCCGTAACCGTCATGTCTTTCTTTTGTACCCTTAAGTCCTTAGTACTTTTCTTGTCTCAGTGTCTGAGATCCGGTGGCACTTTTTGTTGTGAGCCTCTCTTACAGCAATTACCACACGCTGTTAGAACTATTTGTTTACTCGTCTTTTCTGCCCCGCCCTTTCTCTCGCAACTGAAACTTCCTGGAGGTTGGGGCCTACACTGTTTATCTTTGTATCCACTGGGCTTCTCTCCTGCCGAGACACAGTAAGAACTCAGTAAATAAACGAATCAAATATACCTTGGACACTTGCTGACTATGTGACCTTGAGACAATTACTTAACCTCTCTGTGCTTCTCAATTTTAAACGTTAGTAATAGTGCACTCCCTCTTAAGTATGTGGTCAACATTTAGGGAGATGTGAAAGTTGAACATCTAAGAAGTGGTCCACTCCATACCTGGTAACAGTTTTTATTATTAGTCACAGGAGATGTTTATGTGGGCTTGGTGTTACCAATATCCTGTGGCACTGACAGGTAGTATTAATCAACAATAGCAATACCAAATGCTTTTTAAGCTTTTCTGACATTTCAGGCACAGATCTAAGCACTTGTCAGGTATTCGCTCTTTTAATCCTCTCCACAGTCTTGTGAGATAGATACTATCGTTCCTTCCAGTTTACAGATGAGGCAACTCTGGCACCAAGAGGGTAAGTATTTTGCCCAAGATCATGGATCTAGATAATGCTAGAACAGGATTTGAACCTAGGCCATCTGGCTTTGGACAGAGTATATATTTGAATCCTTACTGCTCTCTCCTTTCTACAAATGATATGAAACAGTTTCCTATTCATGACATTTGTTGTTGACATCAATTTTTCTGTGTTCAAAACTGAGACATCAGCAGAGCCTGGATTCATAACGTTGGCCATTAAAAGACCCTTCTTCCACTTGAATCTTGGTCCCATGCCAAGGGACCGCCAATGTGGTGGCCTCTCTGTGCTCCGTACTATGGCCCTTGGGATTTATGAGGGGCGAATAGAACCCTCAATGTGGGAGGAAGATGTTGAGCAAAGGGAAGCAGGGCAGAGTGGTTGGAGAAATTAAAAATTATTAAGTCCGAAAAATAATCATGGAGGTTTTAGTTCAGTGCTGCCTGTGTTCTCTATGCTGAGTATTTGGTGCGTGCCTGGAACTCTTTAAGACTTCATTTTAGCTTCAAGGAGCTGACAGTCTAGTTGGAAAGAGAAAAGCTGGCACCTTTTAAAAAAAGGGAGACAGCCATAGGGAGTACCTGGCAGAGTGGACACGTGGGGGAGTGGGTGAATTAGGAAGCAGAAAGGGGGTGATGAGACGGGAAGAGTTAGGGGTGGGGGAAAGAGGAGGAGGAGGAGAGCCCATGGTCTGGGATGCTGCATAAACTGAAACTTGCAAAAAATAAAACCAAGATCTAGGCTGTTGGGAAGCAGTCATCATGATCATCAGAAAGAAACTGCACCAGGGTAGAAGAAACTTTTGCTCTGTAAATATTTAATAGAGTGTCTTTCAAGTGCAAGGCACTGTGCTAGACACTGGGGTTAATACTTAAGAGTGAATTCAAGCCAAAAAAGGATAGGAAGAAATTAAAGAGGGCCTATGTGCTTTTAACAAGTTTAAGCTTTAGTAAGTTTAGTGTGTTTAAGTGTCTAGCCCTATATGTCCTAGATCAAGTTCATTTAGGAATAGGCCTGTAGAGATGTTCTTGGAAATCTTTGAGGAATTAAGAAAAATAGTGGAAAATGAGCAGATGTTTGGTTTTCAAAATGATAATAGCTAACTTACAGAATACATAGAGTACCCACCATATGCTAGGCACTATTCTAAGCACTTCACATATATTATCTTATTTAATCTTCACCACACCTCTAGGAAGTAGGTGTTATTTTTGTCCTCCTTTGATAATTGAGGATACTGAGTCATAGATAGGTCAGATAATTTGCTCAAGATTAAACTACTAGCATGTGCAGAATCCAAGGTGCTGTCTGAATGGCTGTATTCCCTCCAAATTTGTATGTTGATTTCCCAACCCCTAAGATGGTAGTATTAGGAGGTCGGCTTTTGGGAGATGCTTAGGTCATAAGTTAGAGCCCTCAGATGGGGACTAGAGCCTTAAAAAAGAGGCTTCAGAGAGATCTCTCGCCCTTTCTGCCATGCAGGACATGAGGTGCTGGCTGTGAACAAGGAGGATGGCACATACCAGAAGGTGACCAGGCTGGCACCTTGATCTTGGGCTTCTCAGCCTCCAGAGCTGTGAGCAATAAATTTCTGTTGTTTACAAGCTGCCCAGTTGGTGGTGTTTTGTTATAGCAGCCCAAATGGACTAAGACAGATACCTGGTATGGAAAAGTGGCAGTGCTACTGTAACAAAACCTAAAAAAGCTAGAGTGGCTTTAGAACTAGGTAGACACTGGAAGAGTTTGGCGGTGCCTGATGGAGACAGCTGACATTGCTGGGACCAGACTTAAGAGCGATTCTGGTAAGGGCACTGAAGAGAGGGAAGCTGTCGAGATACCTCAGGCCTCCTGGAGAATACCTAAGTGATAGTGAACAGAATGCTGGTAGAAATATGAACCATACAGGCCATTCTGACGAGGTCTTAGATGAGGAAAAGAAAAGGAGATTCTTGATAGAAAGTGGCGAAGAGCTTGGTAGAATTGTGTTTGTGTCCTAGTGTTTGGTTTAAGGTAGAATTTGTGAGCAATGAAATTGGATATTTGGCTGAGGAAATTTCTAAGCAAAGTGTTGAAGAAGCAATCTGGTGTCTCTTAAATGCTCATAGTAAAGTGCAGGAGGCGAGAAATGATTTAAAGGTATTAATATTAATGAAAAAGGATGCAGAACTTAAAAATTTGGAAAATTCTTATCACTATCTAACATACTATGTATTTTACTCATCATCATGTTTACTGCCTGCTCCTCTAGTAAGAATGTAAGTTTCATGGGGTCAGAAATCTGTTTGTTTACTGGTGTATTTCCCGGGCCAAAAAAATATATGGCACAAAGTAGACACTCATGTATTTTGTTGAATGAATGAATCAATGAGTGACTGACAATCATACACATAACATAGATTATACCTTTTAATCCACCCAATTACCCTTTGAATTATTAGCCCCATTTTAAAGATGAGGAAACTGAAGTTCAGGGAAGTTACACAACTTGTTAAGGGCCATCCAACTAGTAAGACATAAAGACTGTATTCAAACCTGGATTGTGTAACCCCAGAGCCCTTGTTCTCGACCACTGTCTGATCCTGCATACTGGAAGGTGGGTTTTAAAAGATTGACAAATTGAGTTAATCTAAAGGAAGGTGATAGGAATAGTGAGGGGTCTCTAGGCCATGTCATATGATAAGCTGTTTATGGAATTACAAAGGCTTTTTGCCTACAGAAATGCTTAACCTAGTGAGGTATTGAATATATGAAAACTAAATCCAAATATTTGAAGAACTGTAGTGTGAGACAAGAATTTGTTTATTCCGTGCAGTCTGAAGGGCAGAAACTGGAATTAACAGCAAATAAAGAAAACCAACCTCCCTACTTGAGGTACAGAAACTAAGGGCATGGTCAGGCTTGGTGACAAGTCTCACTTGTGGACTTCAGGATGGCTTAACTTCCTGGAAGACAAAGGCAAAGGAGATTCTGGAAACAAGTTGTGTTAGATGGTAGTATGAGGCCAAAGAAAGTGAAAGCAGAGCAAAGGCCTAAGGTCAGAAGAAAGCGGTAACTAGGGCCTTTTAAGAAGAGGTTTCAGTAAATTTCTGTGTTGGGACAGAGATGTGGAAGTTGGGTTAAAAAGAAATGACTGGTGAAGGAATGCAGACAGTTTTTGGAAAACCTTGACTTGAAAGAAAAGGGGAAAATCGTTCAAGACTGCAGTAGTATCCAGGAGAGAGCTTCCAGTATGGGGAAACCTATGTGTGAAGGGAGTGGGGATTGAAGACCCTACCATATGGTTATGGGAGCAAGTTTCCTTCTGCTTTGGAAAGAGTGAGACACGGGATTTGGGAAACCCCTTGGAGGTTTGAGAGCACCCCCAACCATGTCCATTTTGGGACTGTCTGGTGTATTACAAAACTAAATACACCAAGATGGTTTTGAAAATACTTGGTGTATCTTAAATGTTTACAGTTAACAATTGAAAACTCAGCACAAACCAAACAATAATATAATGATATTCACAAAATACCTACAGGAATTTTTTTTTAACTACAAAATGTAAGAACCTTTTAAATGTGAGACTGGGCTAAAGGATTCTCCTGGCCACTGGGTGAGGATGAAATTAGGAGGATGGTTGCAGGTTAGAGGCCCCCACCAAGAGGGTTGGGTGTGATCTCCAAAGGCCTCAGAGAAGTGGTGCAGGAATGTCCCACTCTTAGATAAAGGAGTCACAGAAGCCCGCTTGCATGAGCCAGAGGGAGTTCTGGCATAGCATCCTGAGGTCCAGAAGTGCAGACCCACCTGGATCCCACTCCCCACCCCTGGATCTCAGGGGCAAGTATCCTGGAGCGATCAATGTCTGAGGCATCCACAGGGGGGCAGTGTGGCAACTCCGAGGCACTCTGAGGAGTGGGAGCTGAAGGGCCTCCCTTTCTTCCTCCAGCGAGCCCTTTGTCCTACATCCTCCTCACTCTCTCTTCCTTCCCAGAGTTATTTGAAGGCTGCCCACCAACCCCCGCACAGGGACAGCCGACGGAAACGGACTTTTTCCCTCTCTGCAGCTGGAAGACTAAGGCTTGTCATCCTGTTGCGCCCATAGTCCCACCCTTTTAAGTACAGGTGTCCTGGGTGGAAACATGAAAGTGGAAAGAGAGAAGGGACAGGCTGGTGGTATTCGTGGCTCTAGGGGGCTCGCTTTGTCCCTGCCCTCAGTTCTTAGGGGCTGGTTTGCAGTGCCAATGGCCAGCACAAGGGGGTGCTACCATCCTGCAAACCCTGC